GAATACATTAAGCAAGTACTTTTACTTTTAATACTCTAAGTACTTTTAAAAGCAAGTACTTACTTACTTTTACTCAAGTAAAAATGTTGATGTGGTACTTTTACTTTTACTAGAGTACATTTTTGTCTGTTTATTTGTACTTTTACTTAAGTACAGTGTTTGAGTACTTTCTCCACAACTGATTTTTTGAGCAGGTACCAGAAAGTAATTATTAGGTAATTAATTTGTCAGTTAATGAGGGAACCCCTGACTCCCCCCCAAGTTAATATGCTATTAAAAACTGACCTGTTATGTTGAAGATATCCTAAAATGGATCCTAAAATTTATTACTTTGTTTTTGCGTGTGTAACTTTAACTATTCTATTTTTGTGGTGTACTTATCATTTGTTTTTTAAATCTTTTCGAAACAGAAGTAAGCAGAGACAAAGTAAGAGAGCAGAGTTACTGACAGTGTGCCAAAAGTTCGACCTTGAAATGCAAATTTAGAAAAAAAAATTATAAATAAATCTCTGCTTGATGAAGTCTTATGACTCGTTGTTGCCACCTGCAGGACACATATGGTACTGCTGCGATGTCACACCTGTTTAAATAATCATTACTTCCTGTTTGACAGTTGATAAAATCTATAAACAATACAATGAAACGTTGAAAAAAATTAATCTGTAACACAGTAAAATATAGTATTTACAGAAACAGAGTGTCTATATGCAAAAACTTAATTTAATTTGTCATGAGGTCCTCCAAAGCCTATGATCAGATTAACAGAAATTAAGATCTGAAACAGAAACTTTCTTAGTTCTGAGTTTGTTTTATTTCTGTATTTCCCTTATGATTCCTCACAACATTTAATGTAACACCTAAAGCTTAAAAACACTTTGGTAACATTTTATTGTTTGTAAAACTGACGAAATTTTCCACCAAACATGACATTTTTACAGTTTTTATTGCAGGAACAGGTTAACGCTGTGCTGTGTGTTCATTAGTATTGACGTAAAAATGAGGTAAACAGCGAGAAGTTTTACACAAGTTGCTGAAGAAGTTCACCCTAATAATTTCAGTCACTAATGGACGTCAACAACAGGGGTGTGGTTCACCACAGGTCACACACCAAATACCTGTGAACAAAAACGGTCAAAAAGACAAGAGCACAAACAATTCAAATTAGGCATTTCACTAGAATTTGACAACCTACATTAAGAAAGTCAGAAGGTCAACTAGAAAAAACAAAACAAATATTTCAGAATAACATTTTTTTATTATAGGACCAAAAATGAACAAAATAAATAAAACATTTTTGATGTTATTGATTTTGTATTTAGTCCCACTTTTGTTTGTTTTGGTTTTTCTCTGTCTAGTATTTAAATTATATTTTTTCATGCATCTCTAAATGTCCACTGGATTCTGGTGTCCAAGGCAGATGTCAAGTGGTGCAGCTGTGCAATGTGAATGATTGTCTTCATGTGTCCCTCTGATGGACTTGAGACCTGACAAGGGTGTCCCCTGCCTCTTGCACACTGACTGATGGAGATTGCGTCCAATGTTTTTATTTTATTTGCTTGTTTACAGCCCATGTCATTTTATTTTTAATTTTTTTGCATTAAAAAAATCCAAAATCTAGTGATGTTCCATTACCAATACTGGTATTGGGCCCAATACCAATACCAGCAACCACAAATTGGTTCAAAATATTTATATAATTTCTGATTATATGATACAACGGCCTGCTGTGTTTTTAAAATGTATGACACAACGACCTGCCGCATTGTTAATTATATGAAACAACAGCCTACCATATTTTTGATTGTATAAATCAATGGACTATCATACTTCAGATATGACCTGCTATATTTTTAAATTGTATGACACAACAGCCTGCCACACATCATTAATTATATGATACAATGGCATGCCATACCATGTAATTATAATACAAGTAGTTTCAAATCTTTTCAGTTACAAAATTCTTCTTTCAATTTTTTCTGAAGCTAATAATGTAGCAGTCTAAAATTAAAACAAACTTATAAAGCTAATGCAATCACTGTTAATAATTGAATTGGTTAGCATATATTAGTTTCTGTATATATTGTTAAAGAGTGAATAAATCTGATGATTCATGCTACAATCTAACAAATGATTAAATATTACAACTTGATTTTTTCTATGATTTATGTATATTTACACAGTGTAAAATAACTATTATTATTTGACTATCTTATTAGGTTTCTGCTCATCTTATGGCAGGTTATTAAGATTTTTTTTTATTTAAAATCTGACTGGTTGTTTGCCTGGAAATATTTTGACTCTTTTTTTTTGTGGTGTTGGGGGGTGTTCTACTGTGTGTTCACATATTCATCCTTTCTTATTATCTTAAATGCTGCTGTGAAATGTGACGGGTGACATGCATTCTCTAAAGGCATTTGAGGCCCTTTCATTGTTTTTAAGTAAACTCATGGTTGAAACAATGAAAAACAGTTTTGTTCGTCCTCATATGTGGACTCACGTACAGAGTCACCTGATGAGGTAAAACTAGTTCGGGCCAGTTCCCATGATGTCAGAGGTTTTGGACTCGGTCAGACCAGCAGGGACTGGTTCAGAGGGATCAGGGTTGGTTCTCACCCCTGCCCACCTCCTCCTCCACAACAGAGGGGAACCTCCCCCCTGTTTCTGACAGAGGATCAGTTTTCTGCTGCAGTAACCAAGACACCTCGTTCCCTCTCCCTCTGTGCCCTGGACCCTGAGTGTGTGTCCAAATTTAGACCCCCAGAGACGGACACATGTGTGAACCTGCGTTCCATGATCCTTGTCTGTTTACTGCTCTGACATCTCATTCTTACATCACTCTGCTCGTTTAATGCAGAGACAATAAATTATCAGTTCATTCTCTCCTTCTTTTTCTTCAGCACACACAGTTTTATTACATGGCCTTTAAATGCCTCAGACATCTATATTTCCTCCCTGTCTCTCAAGAATTTGTTTACCACCAGCAGCGCCTGGCCCTTCTTCACTCTTTTCCATTCATTACATAATAACACACTGATGTTAAAGTCACAGCTCTAAGCAAAAAGCATCAAAATGTTGCATAAGTGGAACTTAGGAGACAAATGATCAGCTCCTGCAGGAAAACCCAGTGGATGTTTTAAAGAGATGATAATTTTATCCTTATGCTGAATGATTGTATGAGATGACATTTTGTTCTTCATGCTGTTGATAAGTAAGGGTCTCAAACATCAACACGAGGTTCATTTGACTGAACTATGTTCAGAACCAAAAATAAAAAATAGAAAAAACCCAAAATGTTTCGCTTGTCCTTCACCTTGCACAGAACATTGCAATCTAAGTGGCAGCTGTTTTTGGTTTTGCATTTTTAGAGCAAATTTTTTTTTAAATTCTTGTGGGAAACTTTGGTGCCAGCAGGTCTAAAACACAAGTGTCAAATTCAAGGCCCTCAGGTTACAGCAGAGAAAGCAAACTTCTATTTGACTTTTTAAAATTTTGTTTTTAATCTATGACTGCTAATCTTAGATACTTAAAAAAATCAAACATAAAAAAACCACAATACAGCTAGATTAATTGCATTGTCTTGGGAAAATGGGAAAGTGTAATGCTGTTGCTGAAAGCTGCTGAAGAAGCTGAAAAGGCTATAGCAAAACTGTTAGCACCATTTATTTTCTCATTACCTGTTTTCAGTTTCCTGTGCCATGTTAACCTCAGTCAGTGTTTTTCCATTCTGCCACACTCACCAGTCCATAGTAATCACGCAGGTGCTTCCACTCCCCAATCATCCTCCGTAGTATTTAACCAGTGTCTTATCTTCATTTCCCTGTTGGATCATTGACTTTTCACGCCTCAAGCCTAGTCTTTCTCCATGTTGTTACTATCGTTACTATCGTTGTTATCTTTAGTATTTTGCTGCCACGCCAGCCTTTCTCATTTGTTTAATAAACTAGTTTTTGTTCTTACCTTGAAGTTTGAGACTGCTTGCACTTTGGGTTCTACCACACCAATCCTGACAATTTGAACAGCTGACTTTTGCTGAATGTAGGACTACAAAAGTGAAAAATCAGTAGACAGAAAGCAAGTAAGTTTAAAAGTCTTAAGAGCAAAAATATAGCTAAAATTGGCAACAAAAATGGCAAAATGTAGATGGAACAGTTAAAATTAACAGACAGGGAAAGGAGAGTGAAACTTTTCAAATGAGCAAAAACAAAAGAAGTACTTGCATTTGTTTTTAATCTAGGCTAAAGTAGCCTAAAAAGAATCTGAAAAAGCTAAAATTAGCACAGTGAAATAGAGCATGCTTGCCAAATTAAACAGTAAGAAGCTGAAATTATCACATAAGTGTATTTAGCTGAAAAAAGCTCAAAAAGCTCAGCTAAAAGTTAGCTAAAAACAAAGAAAACAGCTAAAATTAGCAGAAAAAGGCTGTATAAAGCATTAATTAGAAGCTCAAAGAAACAAAAAGTTAAAAATTAGTAGAAAAAATAGCAAAAAAGGTCAGAATGATAGCTAAAACAGCAGAAAGAAATCAACAAAATAGAGGCAGCTGGATGTTGAAATCAGCATAAAGAAGTAAAATACCAACCCAGAACTAGAATAAAAGGTAAAGTAAAGCTTTATAAGTATTTTGAAAGGTTTTAAGGATGTTAAAGACAGCTCTATTCATTTTCAATGAGAAAAAAATGGCCAAAATAGCTAAATATCAAAAAAGTAGTATAAATGCCTGAAATACCAAACAATGTCCTGAAAAAACTGAATGTTTTGATATATATGAATTGTTGAAATAACAATAAATAAATTCATTAATTAAATTTATTTGTGGAGCGAGATTTGTGCCAAAAAACTTACAGAAGATATTATTTATGAATAGAGCCACATACTGAACAGAAATGTATTTACCATGATCACAATAATGTGCAATGTCAGCAAAGGACCTCTTAAATTGCTAACAATTGCAAGGGGCTATTACATTTCCAAGTGCTATGCATTTACACTCCACAAGCCAGCAATACATCTGGACCAATCAGATGGGCTCTTGCTGCTCTGGAGCCTCACACCAAGATTTAGATACTTTGAAGAAATGTGTTCAGACTTATTAGAAACATCTGTCTTCTAACATGAACAGCATCATTTACGATACATGTTCAAGTTTTTTGAGTTGTCGGAAGTTCTTAGAAATCCAGACTACATATATAACCCAGCAGTCGCCACAACGAATCACAACCATAAAATTAGGTCAGGGAATATCTGAACCAGCCAACCTGCCAATTTCTCAGCTGTGCCACGGACACGACACGACAAATGCTTGGAACGATGTCAAGAACTTACACTCATAGTACAGTTTCCAGGACTCGAAGGCATACTATACTTAGATACTGTAGGCTGCATCAGGAAAGTGGGAAGAGCATTTCTTTTTTTCATAGTCTGACAGGAAACAGAACTTAAACTGAGTCTGATGGGAAACTAAAACTAAGTTTAATGCATAAAAGTGACCCAGATAATCTGTGCAAGGTTTATAGAGCAAGAGAAAGATTACGGAACAGGGCCTCGTCCTCAGTAATGAGGGCGTTGCTTTAGACGGATGTAGTGAAAAAATAGTTGAGTCGAAAGGCAAAGCTCTTGATTTCCTGGCCCCTCTACACTCCAACGCTCATCTGTGATCGTGCAGTATGGATTATGACTAAAATATATATTAAAAAAATATATTGGCTACAAGCTGCAAAAATGAGGTTGGCCAGATGGTCAGCGTTAGCGATAAGGTAAGCTGCTTCGTCATCTGGGGGTAAGGGCTCATAGCACTGCTCCTTCTCAGTGAAAGGAGTCAATGAGAAGGGGTCAGAAGGAGTCAGTTGAGATGGTTCTGGCATCTGATAAGAATGCCTCCTGAATGCCTTCCTTTAAAGGTTTTCTGGACATGTCTCACTGGGAGGAGACCCTGGGGCAGATCCAGAACTTGCTGCGGGGATTATGTTCTCTCTGCCCTAGGGATGACTTGGGATCCCCCAGGAGGAGCTGGACAATGTTGCTGGGCAGGAGGATGGGTTTCTCTCCTTAAACTGTTTCCTCCACAAACCGACCATGCATAAGCGGTAGAAGATGCAGTTATTCCTTTTGGCATTTTCATCTTGGCTCACTGTGAACCCTCCTTCTAGAATGTTGTTTCTAGAATCAAAAAGAAAAAAATAGGTCTTCTGGACGGATTCTTCTCTAATGACACATTTCGTCTCTCCTCCAAGAGACTTCTTCAGTCTGAGAGTTTCAGGCAAAATTCAGGCTTTTAAGCCCAGCCTCTGTGTGACTGATACTCACATCACATGGCTATCGTTGACACCTAATTAACACCTATTGTTAACAGGGGTGGAGTGATACTGGCAATAGCAGCACTGTAGGAGGGGGACAACTGAAAATGGAGGCCTCCACCTCTGTTTCTTGAATATATAAATTGTAATGGTCTTTTGGTTTGTGGTATATTTTTTCTGTATATCCCCATGTTACGATGCTATAGTTTTAAATCAGATTTAAAAAAACAATAAAATAAGAAAATATATTTGGAATTATTACATATGGAGCACTAACAATATTTTAAAATTCGTTTCATTATCATCATCAACAATGCGATGTAGACTTGTACTCTGGCTTCTATTGGGGACTTACTGCAGCGCCCTCTGCACCCCTGCTTCCCACAGTATTTGTGCTGTGTTTTATTTTATCGTTTTACTTTATCTGTCTGTGTCTGAAACCCCTTCTACATTTAGGTTGTCATCATCATCAGCACACACAAATTTACACGAAAAAAATTAAAAGAAAGAAGTTTGATTCACTTGTTTACGTCACTGCACGCGCTGTTAAAGTGGAGATTCGGGGTGCTGCATTCAGGTGCCAAAATAGTTTTGAGAAAAATCCGTAAAATACAATGGTGGTACCATTTTGAAAGAAACGCAAAAATGTGTTAGGTCTATCAAAATTCCACAGTAAACACGATTTTCAAATAATATTTATACTACAGGTAATCCAGCGGCACGAATTGACGTGACAGATGCTGACGAATACACGCGACTACACAGGCAATGATTGCAACATTTCCGAGGAAACCTGAACGCAACTGTACAAGTGTCTCGTGCGTCAATGGTTTTAAATTGAGCAGCAGGACGGTGGAAGTTTCATTGCGATTCGGAGGGAGTCTGGTGCGGACATTTCATCATTCACCTGACTACTTTTTCTTTCTTTAATTTATTCATTTTAAATTTGAATTTTTAATTTTTATAGCATCAAGTTTTCAGAGTTTCTCTCGATGACTGTGACTCAAAAACAACCGATAACTTACGCCAAAATGAAGGGGATAGTAACATTTCTTTCAGGTAGGTCTCGGAAAAACGAACAAAACACGTTAAAAAAAACTCTGCTAAATCTAAATTCAGTGATGTCAGCTTAGTTTATCAGCAAAGAAAGTTATAGCTACAAGCAGAAATTCAGCTAGGCAAAATTAACTTTACTTAAATGCCACATTTAATTTTAAACACAGGGCATAAATAAAGCAAAACAGAGGAAAACTGGTGACATCTCTAAAATTTTAATAATAAAATACCCTAAAAAGTCATGGTATTTTTTTTAAAGAAAGTTCAAAATTATTGCATTTCTCAACCAAAGTTGTTGGATTTGTCTCTTAATCTAACTGTGACAAACTGTACAATGAGGAGCTGCCAGACATTTTGGGGTAAATTCACCTCTTATGTAACAGACTTAACACTCCCTCTTTCTCTCTCTGCCTCACAGCTCTCCTCAAGGGTAAGAAAGTTGGCTTCAGTCACCTCCTGCACAAAGTTGTCTCCAGCCAGCAACAGTAAGTTGGAATGAAAAATTTATTTGTGTGACTTCTTTTTAGCTGTGAGAGAATCGAAACCCTGATCTTTGTGCTCTACCCTGAAGCCTGGACACTCAGAAACTTCTGCTGCGACGGAGCAAGTTGAGGAAACAGGAGGAGGAGAAAGTTGCCTCCGTGAGTTCACACTTGGGCAGGTTCTTAGTGGGGCATTTTGCTGTGCGTTGACAGGACATGAAATCTAATCCGACCTCCTGACTGTTTGAACCATGTGTCTTTTCTTTCCTCAGAGCTCAGCAGACACAGAAGCCTCACAGTAAGTTTTCCTTACAGACGCCTGTAGAGATATTTTCTTGATGCCAGAAAAGTTTTGCTTCACATTACAGAGCGAACCCTTTCTTTTGTGGCAGTCTATTGAGACAGTGATGAGAGTAGGTATGTGGGAGGGTCTCCAAGCTGGTTCCTAACTTTATGAACCCACATCCCAGGTTATGGTATTAGTCTTAAAGTATATTATTAATTACAAGATCTTTAATCAAATACAGGGTTATTTTACTTCCATATGGCTTCTTATAGTGATCACCACTAATAACTCATTCACATACTTTTCTATTCAGCACTGATTGTGTTATTAATCATTAGTTTCTTTTGTTTGTTTTTACCAGGATGAAATCATCAGACTTTGAATATCTCAAAGTTATTGGCAGTGGAAGCTTTGGAAAGGTGAAGAGTTATACATTTCTATTTTATTTTTGTCTCTAATTCAATTAAATTCCTGTTTAAATAATTTAAATCTAATTGGTGGCAGGTGCTGCTGGCAAGACATAGAAAACAAGGAGGCTACTACGCAGTTAAAGTTCTACAGAAGCAGACAATCATCAAAAGGAGAGAGGTTTGTTTGTTTTTTCTGATTGCTTTTACGTCTGATTGTTTTTCTGTCTAAGTGAGTTGGTTTTATCTTTGCAGCAAAGGCATGTGATGGTTGAAAGGAGTGTGCTGCTGAAAGGACTGGACCATCCATTCCTGGTGGGACTTCATTTTTCTTTTCAGACACCAATTGCACTCTACTTTGTCCTGGACTATGTTAATGGAGGAGAGGTAAAAGTGACTTTATAGCTTTTATAGCTACATGCAAAAAAAGTCAACTCTCTGTAGTGTTGCTGAATTTTTAATTTGTGCAATTTCACATCTTTTGCTCTCAGCTGTTCTACCATCTGCAGAAAGATGGGTCGTTTCCAGAACCCAGAGCCGCTTTCTACGCTGCAGAGATGGCCACAGCGTTGGGCTACCTTCACTCTCTGAACATTGTTTACAGGTACATAAACTCAGAGATGCACCAATTCAGACAGTGTCTCTATTTCAAGTACCTTGTTCCATGCTAACTTTGTTTTGTTCATGTTTAATTCATGCAAGTTCTGCACATCTCGTTCATTCATGCATCTCCTATGAAAGCCACAGTTTATTTCAATACTGATAAAAAATTAAGATGTCAAACCACAATAAATAAAAAAATAATCCGGTGATTGTCAGCTGAAATTACATTTTTATTCCTGTACAGAGACCTCAAACTAGAAAACATCCTGCTGGACAGCGACGGTCACGTGATGCTGACGGACTTTGGGCTTTGTAAAGAAGATGTGGCTGCGGGTGAGATCATGTACACCATCTGTGGGACTCCAGAGTATCTTGCTCCAGAGGTTCTTCAAGGCCACCCGTACACCTCAGCTGTAGACTGGTGGGGACTTGGCGTTGTGCTATTTGAAATGCTCTGCGGACTGGTGAGTGTAGATCACGTGTCAAACTCAAGGTCTGCAGGCCAAACGTGGCCTAACACAACTTTTTATGTGGTGAGAGCTTCAAATGTGTGTTGTCTTAAAGTCAGCGTTGACCCTAAACTACATCTCCCATAATGCATTTTGATTATTTTACCCGTAAAATGACGGCATTCTACCACTAGGTGGAGGTGCACAGGGCTCAAAAGAACGTGACATTTTGTGTTTAGTTAAAGTTAATTACAACTGGCCCTTTGAAAACCACCATATTGCTCATGCAGCCCTCAGTGAAAATGAGTTTGACACTTGAGGTGCAGGTGAAACAAACTTAACCCTTCTATTCCTCTTCACCTCACCCCAACTCCCCGCTCTCTCCCTTCAGCCTCCATTTTTCAGCAACAGCAAAGCAGAGATGTTTGAGAACATCCTCCGAGCCCCTCTGCAGCTGCCTGATGGGCTTTCAGAAAGTGCCCAGTCACTGTTGCAGGGGTTGTTGGAAAGAGATGTTTCCCAACGCCTCGGGCAGAGCCTCGATATTGTAAGTTCACGCACAGAAGAGAACAGTGATGGATCTAAAACAAAAACCGCTGATGGGGAGTTAATTTTGTTTTGTTTTCAGGAAGAGCTGCAGGAGCATCCCTTCTTCACCTCCATCAACTGGGATGACCTTGTAGCCAGAAAGATAACACCCCCGTTCATCCCGAATGTGGTATGAATAAATCAGAAAACGGTCTAGATTTTTTTATTCAAAATAAAAGCTCCTTTTACCAAAGTGCTCACACCTTTTTGCCTCCCTTCCAGACGGGTCCTTGTGACATCAGCTGCATCGACCCAGAGTTCACGCTACAACCAGTTCCTGCCTTCGTGACCCGGAGAGATGAGGCGGCTGCAGCCAGCGAGGCCTTCCTCGGATTCTCCTACATGAAAGCAGCAGAGTATGTTGCAGCAGAGCCAGTTTCATAACAAAACTCCTCTGGGATCATGTTTGCTCAAATATTTATTTCCATGTTATATATTATTAAATGTAAGTCTATTTTTTAAGATGGAACAAAATATTTCAACCCTGACGCTGCAACGTACTGCGAATTTCATTAGGGGCACTTGATTAAAGTATACTTATGTTTTTCCTCTTTTTAGATTTTTATCAACTATTTTTTATAGAAGATGATCATTATTTTGATATTTCTTGTTAATTTATTTTGTCTATGAAATAATAAACACAGAGCCAGGCACAGTTTTATTTTTAAAGCTTTGCATTTTTATTTTAAAACACAGAGTTTGTATTACACAATTAACACTACATTCCTATATCGTACATTAGTTTTGATTTTGTCACATTAGGTTGTTTTTACAGTGTTTGCCTGCAAAATAAAAAAATCTGGTGCTTGTCAGCTGAAATTACATTTCATAAACAAAAAAACTTGACCCAGCTCTGGTTTTGTGTACTGCTGAGTTACTTTTTATGTGTGACAAACATCTGGTTTCTGCTCAGATTCTTTTTGCCTCACTCTAAAATACTCAACAAAAAACAGTTTTTAAAGAACTGTTAGTGGTAGCTGAAGTTGGCTAGCTCTGCTCACTTGGGCACATGAAATAAGCGATCAACTGACCGTTGCAAATCATCAGAAATAAGCCGCTACCTGTGGATTAAAAATAAATAAATACATAGAAGAATTAAAAGCTAAATCATGACACATTAAAACAACCAGCGACGCTCATTTACCTAAAGCTAGCCACCACTGCCACACCATGGGGAACTCCAACATCACTGCAAACATGGAAACAAAACACAGTTACTCAACAGATGCGGTCATGTCAGCGTGCACGTGGGATCGACCAGGTTTCCCGCTCTCACCCAGGCTGGTGATGATTACATGTAGAAGTGTGACGGTGAGAGCGTAGTCCCAAACCTGCCTCTTCACCACTGCAGCGAACAGGATGCCGCTACAAAAGTAGGTGAGCTCCAAGGAGATGAGATTGACTAAAGAAGAGAGAAAACATGTTTTTTTTTTTTTTTGTACAAATGATCACATTGGTTGTATGAGTGTGCTCACCCAGGTATTCGGAGTTGGATTCAGCAGGTTCTGTCTCAAAGTGGAACAGGATCAGTCCATCGAAGTGATCCAACCTAAATGAGAAAGTGTTAATAAGGATTTGGTAGAACGTTAGAGCTGCAAGGAAAAAGACAAACAAATTTATGGATGCAGTCAGAGAGGACATGAAGGTAGTTGGACAGAGTGAGATGGAAGAGGATGAGTCCCTGGTGACCAGTGGTGGGCACATTTCAGCTAAATAAAGAGAACTTGATTATCTTTTTTGCTAACTTTGGAAACTCTTAGTAGACTGGTTAGCTTCTACTAATATGCTCTGTTGATTTAAGGTCCACTTAAAAATTCACAAGTGTAAAACTTGTGTTTTTTTTTCTATTCATCCCAAATTAAATAAAAACAATCCTCTCTTAGCATTGCTAGATGTGTCAGGCACTGTGTGTGTGTAGCATGTAGCATCTTTAGCAGCCAAACTTCAAAATAAGTGCGAAAAAATAAATAAAATAACATTTAACTGTATTTATATAAAGAATACAAAAATTTACTACATGTAAAATAGTGTAGAGAAAGTATTTGCTAACTTCAAATGGTATTTTAAAAAATAAAACCTTCATTAAAGAAATGCTTTTATTTTGAAAGCGGTAAAAGTTAGACAGAGCTATAACTCTGGCTTGGATTGGCAGATTTACCACAGATGAACCCACACCTTGAAAAATGGAAAAGTAACAACAGGTTTGTGTCCCACCAATATTTAACTGGAATGAGTGAATGTCCCCATTTAGACAGCCAGATACGGCCTGAGTAATAGTCATCTTAGTGGTAATCGTTAGCTTCCACTATCTAAAAAAAAAAGGGGGGGGGGGGACATGTTCAGTATTAGCTGGCTGACATTTGATTCTTGTTTAGATTTTTGAATAGTGGTTTGTGAACCTAACTTTTTGGTTAACTGTGCCCACCACTGGTGGCGACCCCTGAAAGGGGAACAGCCAAAAGAAGATCTTGAACCAAAACATTTACCTGAAGGCACCGAAGCAAACACTCCCAATCATGTAGAAGAGGGAGTAAAATATGATCAGACACAGCAGCAGATTGAGCAGAACTGTCTGTGAATTCAGAGAAAGAGACGGTCATTATTTACAAGATCCCACCTGTCAACACCACATACAGACTGTACTGCAAAGGTGACCCTTAGATTTTTTATTTTTCTGCCTTGTTGCCTTGTGATCTGGAGTTTAACTGAATTTAAGTTGTGATTTAAAAAATAATAAATAAAAAGATACACCTGCTAATCTGTTAAATGGTACACCTGTAACACCACCCAGAAAGTTACCAAGAGACATCATGAAGACAAAGGAACTCTGCATGTTTAAGACAATGATGTAGAAAAGAACCAATCAGGGCTGAGTTATATAAAAAAAAAAAAAGCCAAACCCAAAAAATCTCATAAAGCAGCATTGAAGTTGTCAGATGGCAACAATCAGAAACTTCACTGGAAAGTGACCAGGAAAAAACAAAACAAAAGACAGACTGGTTGGTATTTCATCTCCCAAAAAAACACATGGAGGAAAGTGCTGGGGTCAGATGAGACCAAACTCAAACTTTGATGTTTGATGTTGAATCGACCACTTGTGCAGAGAATAGTTTGGTTGAAGCAGCGACTGCAGCGGTCAGTCCTGACATCTCCTCCTGCACTTTGCTCCTGAACAAACAGAGACTTTGGTCTGTAAAACATACCTTTCTATTAAATATATGTTCAGAGTGTCGTTGAAGTACGGTGGAGGCAGCATCAGGCTGTGGGCCCGAGAAACTGGACAGAGGTGAAGGAAAGATTAGGTCAGGGAAACCTGTTTGAGTCGTCCAGGGTTTTGAGACCCTCCAACAAAATGATGACCCTGGCCTGAACACATTGCTCCAGAAACAGTCAGGTCAAAGCCCAGACCTGGACTCAGCTGAGAGTGTGTGATAAACGAGTGACACTCATCAAATTTGATGGAGCTGGAGCAGTTTGGTTATAAAGAAGGAACAAAAATACCAGTTTAGCTTGTGCAGACGAACCCGGAGTCTTGCTCAGGTGGGTCAAACTCAGTCACACCAGATGGCCAAGAATAAACAAAACATAATTTAAATCAAATCTCTGTTGCTCTTTCCACACCAAATCGAAAACAAATGAAAATTTCAAACTTGATTTTGTTGGCTTGAAAGAGCCACATGTCATGAAAATAATGTGACAAAAACAAAACCATAAAACTAGTTTATGTTCAAAGTATTATCTTTGGGGCCAGATAAAGAGGGCAAGATTTGGCCCACGGGCCTTAACTTTAACACGTTGTCTTGCTGCTGCAAATGAATTATTGTTCAATTATGACTTTTAAGTAAACAGTTAATTATCCAGGGGGTGAATACTTTTGCAACCCGCTCCATATCTTCCATCTCTGCACCAGAAGCTGGGAGCTGACACGAGAACGTCAGTCTCATCCAGTTCGTTTTTTGGTTCTGATGGACTCTGTCGATCCGGATCGTTTTGTTGATCAATAACAGCCTCGAGATCCTCTTACCTTCGAATCGCCTTTGAATGCCATCTCATGGTGATGCGTGTTCGCAGAAATAAAGCAGATTTTGCAGCAGAGAGCAGTCGGCTCGAGCCCGTTAATCCTTCAGAAAATCTGCTGCGGGCTCGCTGCGCCCTCCAGCGGTGACAAACGAAACCGCGCCGCCGCTTTTTTCCACACAAAATGAACTCATTTCACCTCGTTTCACGAGTCTTTGTTGACAGGAAAGGGGGAAAAATACTCCCGTTAAATTCACTTAAGAGTGTTTAAAGGAAGTCACTACATTTGATATTATCATGTTCAACCGGTTGCCTTGTTTTGTTTTCCCCGAGAACCCAAAGAAGAAATCCGCCCAATGTGGGAGGGAATACTGCAGGTTTATATTGATGAACTCAATCTGCCACCGATACAAAGATAACTTCATTTAGGAGAATAAAGGTGTCATTTTAAAGCCTCAAACCATGTGTTTAGCAAGGACACTATACGAAATATCGCACTAGAAATAAGAAATAAAACCTCCGCTAGCGCATTAATTCGTTGAGGTTCGCTCTAGAAAAGCAATCATGCGGAGCGGGTTATTATTATTATTATTATTATTATTATTATTATTTGATCGTGTCAACCTTGAACTGCCTGATGATTAGTTGAAAATATGTCACTTTGTGGGTTTTTTTTTTTCTTCCTCCTGATTTTAACTGAGCGCTCCACATAGCGACGATAATAACCGCTCGTTCTCGGAGCACGTCGATAAAAAAAATACCTACGTACGACCTGGCTGTGCTTGAAAACAGAAATGTAAAAAATAAAAAGAAACAACTGCTGAGGAGCACGAGGAACCGAACGCTCCTCCGCGGTGGAGACACTGCGGTCCCTGCGCTTCATCGATACACACTACTTCTTGTCGGAGGAGGGGGTGGGTTAGCGTAGTTTACACGCTGTTTTTTGGGGGAGGTAAATGGGGGAAATAGGAGCCCGACAGCACCGGGTACTATTTGTTTAATCGCCACGCCGCTGACTTTCCGCGTGTTGTGAGCGCACGCAGGCCTGACACCGACAGCCGGTGGCAAACTCAACTTTTTTTTTCCGAGATCCCAAACTTGTCAGGCAAGCGCATCGTCTGCGCATGCGCAGCCGTTCTATCCAGCTCTAAATAAGAGTTAAAACAGAAACGAGGTGAGTTCCACAATTTCTAACATTACAGCTGTTAATTACACGACATGTTCTCGTTAACGTGGGTGAAAAATTGAACTCTCGATCCTCGACGTGACAATTACTGTTTGTTTTTATTATTTCCACTCAGATAGAGAACGGCGAGAATAAATCGTTTTTTAAGTTTCTATTGAAGAATTTAAAAAATAAAAAACTATGTTAAAGCTCCTAACAGTAGCGCGACTTTGTTTTGAGTATTGATGATATTCTGTAAAATGTCGGAGTTTTGCAAACGCGTTTTCCTATTGTTATTAACCGGTAAACTTATTTATTACAGATTGTCCTTAGCTGGCTGCATCCAGTCACAATGCTACCTACGGCTAGCTGTGTAGCAGTGCTCCGTTCATTTGTACGGAGTGGTGTTGTGTCGAACAAATACACCCCTGCAGTGAAAAGCACCATTCTTACAAGGAACGACGTTTCTGGGCACTTTCCGCTAACATAACAAATTATTTACGGATGCAGACAAATACAAGACAGTTGTTACTTTAGAATTTCACTCAATGTATTTGTGAAAACAAATGTCTTGAACGGCGCCTCCTACAACGGGGGTATACATTTATCTGCACAACACCGACGCTAGCTGATGGTTAGCTTAAACGTAGCAACCTGGGCTGACATTCCGTGACAAGGGGAAAGTAAAGAAAAACGAGCAGAGTGAATGAAAACACACAGACAGAAAATTACACGACAAACGTCTGCTTTTGTTCGACATGTCACGACATTGCACAGTTTGGTTACGTTCGTAACTTTAGTAATTAACATAGTTTAAACGTGTTGGTGGCCTCTTCCCATGCTCCGCCATTTTGTATAAGGCGAATGCTAATCATGGGCGCTCTAACATTCACTTTATTTATGGCTAGAATAAAACTGAGGCATCAAGTGCAAAGTCAAACTTAACCAGGACCCTTCAGCAGTGATTGTTGTTTACTTTGCACATGGTTGTGGCCACTGTCCAAACAGAAAATATAACCTTATTTCAATGTTGAAGATGCGTCAAGACTAAAACGTTTTATCGAAATAAAAGAGGTTTTAAAACGCCCATAAGTTTCGTCATTCAGCGCAGAAAACAGCGTTCTTCTTAAAATTGAGGACCAATAAGCCCACTCGCTTGCTCACAACAAGACAAGCAGTCGATTTTAGTAGATACCGTTAAAACAAGGAAAAGATGAACTTCTGTGGTTAACTCAAAGTTGGGACACGTTTCCTTCTGTTTATCAATAGTATTGGTAAATGTTTACTCCAACGAGATCGTTTGTTTTTGTATTTTTTCGTTATTTGGCCGGCAAAAGAATAATATTACTGAGTGTTTTGTCTGAAATCGAAGTGCACGGTGTACCCTGCAAGCCGACACACAGTCGCCACCTTGCGGTGATGTTGTGTAATGCAGATTAAAAATAAACAGGAAAGGTTGCCTCGCTGTGATGTTTTCATATATTCGCCACAATGTAGTTAAATTTCGGAAAAAAAAATATTGTAAAGCCTTCTACTTTTGGTTTTTCCCTAATCATCCTTTATTTCAAGCGGTCCTCTGCGTTTTCAACTACCTCCATGTCCTCTCTGACATCCATATTGTACATCTCTTCTTTGTCTTCCTGGCAGCTGCGTTAACGTTCTTCTACCAATCCCTCCTCCAGACATGTCCAAACCATCTCAGTTCTGTTCCTCATATGATCTCATTCCTAATCGTATCCATCTTTGTCAAACCCAAGGAGAACCACAACACTCTCTGCCACTCCCAGTTCTAAAAATGTTGTACAGACTGATTCTGTTTATTTATTCATTTTTATTTGTTTACAATAAGGTGCAAAAGTTTTTCCCCATTTCTTTAGTTTGCTTGTAAGTAAAGACTTTACATAAAATCGTGGTTCCCTGTCAGGTTTCATGTGCTTCAAAATGTTTTAAAGGGGACATTTCCAAAATCCACCTTTTTAGCCATTAAATAGTTGTGTACTTAGATTCTCTAGGTGTGCAGACAATAAGGATTTAATCTCTCCTCATGCTGTGTAGATATATTTATATTCTTTATGGGTCATATTTTTTAACCAGTTCAGTTTTTTTCTGTCACATTTTCAGAAATATTACATCACAGTCTCTGGCTCCAACCCGTAAGGCTGGATAGACAAGTCTTCCCTCGTTGACATATTTTAATTAGTTTGTAAATAAAAAAGTTTCTGCTCAGCTATATAGTCGTAAACCTCTCTTCAAAATAGAATGGAGTGCTGTGAAAGCTGGAGTGGGACTGAGTACGAAATGCCTCGTTTGGATTTAAAAAGACAGTCTCAAAACTTGTTTTGAGACTGGCTTTTCCGGCTTTCCTGAGACACACCTCAGAAAAGAGGTGAAAGAGGGGCTTGTGGAGTTAAAATAAGGAGGAATTCAGACCAAAGCATTGCATTTCCACTTTATATAGACCCCAACTGACAGATTTAAAAGCATGATATGTCTCCTTTAATATGTTTTTGAAGGTTGGTCATATAAGCAGAGTGGGAATGACTGACACTCCACCGAATGATGGACCCTCCCAGGGAGCTGAGTTTGACATGATCGGTGCTCTAGACTGGAAGGATGGTATCGCCACGCTGCCAGGAAGTGACATTAAGGTAGAGATTCATTTTTCTCAGTTCTCGTCGTAAAAACAAACCTTCTGGAGCACTGATTATACTTAACAGTTTAAACAAATCGGCTTCCTCCCCCTCCCTTTTTGCAGTTCCGTATGACAGAGTTTGGGATTCTTGAGATTGTAACAGACCTAGAGGTCAAAGGGCAAGATGCGAAGCCTAACTGTGAGACACTGAACCCTGTTTCATCTCACACACCCACCCCGCCTCCAGAGGGCCAGTCACAGGCGGGCACAGCCACACCTCTGGCCAATCAGAGTAAGCCAGGGTCATCTCAAGCGAAAGGTAGGACTGCCCGTGTTAAGCATTGCTGTTGTAAAGAAGTGCAGTTTATATACAGTATATATATATATATATATATGCAAGTTTTCATTAAATGATTGTTTTGGGTTAATGTAACTTATAATTTTACAGATAATTTAGATGTTTTGAACTCTGATGTGGTGGGTGATCCGTGTTTCTAAAGTTAGAAACTGCTCTTAATGCCCCCTCTTTTTTTCTTTTTTCCTTTTTTTTCATTTAAAGAGGATGGTATGAAAATGGAGTTCAGTACCGCTGTTGTTGAAGTGAGTTCTAGTGCAGACACGGGTCCTAACGGGGGGCTGTCACGCTGCTGCTCCTGCGGTGGACAAGTTCCTGGGGATGCTTTGCTGCAAGGCAAATTCTGTAGTCCTGTTTGTGCTCAGCCTTCAAGTGGCAGGTAAAAAAAAAAAAAAAACAATATTGTGCTCCTCATCGGGCTTCTGATTTGATGTTTCAGTATCTGTTTTGATTCTATAAGATCATCTCCAGCGGAAACGCGGGATGGTCAGGCTGTAGAAGGTGAGAGGCTGGGAAAGCGTGTCCGCAGAAAGAGGAAGATCTACATGGATTCTGGTGACGAAGAGGAGGACAACCAAGAGGAGCCAGAGGTGAGCAGAACATCATCAACACCAGTACCACCATGCGGGAATCTTTTCTTGGATTAAGCTTAGTATTTTTCATTTTCTTTGTGATAAAACCCACGTTTTCTTTTACAGGAAAAAGCAAAAACTATCAAAGGCAGGAGAGGGGCCAAGATCACCAAACCTGGTAGGTTGAGCCTCTAATTGATCTTGATCAACATTTACATTTTAGTTTCAGCTTTGCTTTTTAAAATGATGTTTCTTATTACAGTTAATGTGAGAATCATTTAAAGTAATTGAAGTTTTTTGAACAGTTTTCTGAACTTTGGGCCTAAAAGTGAAAAAATACAAGAATAAGTAAAAGATTAACTGAATGTTATAAGCACAGTGTATATAAGTCACCCAGACAGGGTTGTAATGTGTCAACTTTTCTTTAACTCTCAGTGATGGCCCCGCCCAATAAGAAACGGGCCTGGAGCTGGCCCGCTTACCTGGAAGAAGAGAGAGCTGTCGCTGCACCTGTGAAACTGTTCAAAGAGGTTCAAACACTTCTTTAACCACCAGCTTGCACATTTAATAGATTTTTTTTTTTTTACTTACCACCCTGATTATTGTGCATCCGTCCTGCAGCACCAGTCGCTTCCTCAAAGCAGGAACAGTTTTAAGGTCGGGATGAAGCTGGAGGGACTGGACCCGTCTCACCCGTCTCTCTTCTGCGTGCTCACCGTCGCAGAGGTATGAGCGCCACAGAGGTTTTTTTTTTTTCTTTTGTGAGGATTTTCGCTCACATCCTCTCGCCCTGCAGATCCAAGGTTACAGAGTCAGGCTGCACTTTGACGGTTACCCCGAATGCTACGACTTCTGGGCCAACGCAGACTCGTGGGATCTGAAACCAGCCGGCTGGTGCGAGAAGAACGGACACAAGTTGTTATTGCCCAAAGGTGGTCACATGTTTACCTGAGGTTTTAGAAACTGACAAAGACTCAGGCGTCAGTTTTAGAGCAAACCTTGTATGTGAAAATCTGGATGTGGTTTGTTTTGTTGTAGGTTGTAAAGATGGAGAGTTTAACTGGACCATGTACGTAAAGAACTGCAGGGGCCAGCTAGCTCCAAAACACCTTTTCAAGAGCCTCAACACTGTAAGTCCTGATTAACGCATTAATCTGTTTCTTTTAGTGTGAAAACTGATTCACACTGCTTTGTTCTTTATTTTTCTGTACATATTTTGCAACCTAACTAGTTACTTCCAGAACTCTTTCTAGACACCATGGGGGCCTGAGGCAAGAGAGACAACTGAGGCCCTATATTCACTGCATCCCACTTTTAATTATGAACATATTAACTAGTCATGCAAAAGAATATAAAAGAAAACAGCAATTACTAATAATTATCATGCACTCAGTGTTTGAATTGAATTGAATTGAATTGAATTAACATTTTCATATGGTTTCATATGGTCATTGCATTTGGCCACTTCAGTACCATCCCTCGGGGGCCCCCTTTTAGCTCAGGACCCTAGGCGAATTCCTACCTTGCCTACCCTATCATGAAGGCTCTGGTTACTTCTACACACTTTGTGTTGTTTTACACAATTTTATTTAAAAAAATGTTCAGCTCATTCAGTAGAGGGGTGCTATGACTTCTGGTTTTTAAAACTTTTAGCTTAGCTTTTAGCGTAACTTTATTTACAAAATCATGAAATCAGCTTTAGCCTATGGCTCTGTTTTTGTTTTCTGAAGTTACTTTATATGTTTGGCTACCATTCTGTTATTTTTAACAATCCTTTTGGTATTCTTAATTAGCATTTTGCTACTATTAGCTTTTATTTAATCTTTTGTAACTATTAGCTTTTAGTGAGCATTTTGTTGCCCATAGTTTTCATTTAGCCTTTTGATACTTTTAGCTGGCCTTTTGATAATAATCAAAATAAAATGCTTTATTCCTTTGCTCTTTTTATTATTATTTGATGATTTGCTGTTTTTAGCGAGTGCTGGGCTGCTTTTAGCTAGCCTGTAGATATTTTTAGCTATTAGCTACCTTTATTTATTTATTTATTTATTTTTGGTATTTAGTTAATGTTTTGCTTCTTCAACAACAAATTTCAGCGAAGTCATTCAGCACTCATTTCTCCTCAGGGATTTCTGGCTAACCTTTTTTTTACTCTTGGTACGTTTTTTAGTCTGTGACTCCATCTGGATTCAGAGCAGGGATGAAACTAGAAGCAGCCGACAGAAAAAACCCTTCGATGATCTGTGTAGCAACAATTGGCGCTGTCGTCGACAACCGCCTGCTAATTCATTTTGACAACTGGGACGACACACACGATTACTGGTAAGATGTAAAAAGACCCAAATGTTCTCTCCGCTCTGCCTGTTGAAGCTTCAAATCAGCTTGAAATTTGGACTGCAATTTCAGTTCCATGTCTGCACACTTACTCGTGTGCAAAAGTGTCTTAAATGGACAAATGTGTGTAACTTCAACATCTCAGCATTTTTATTCAGAAGTCTTTATTAGAACCAAAGCTGATGTTTTTGTGTTTGAACCTGTTTAAATGGTCCTACGAAGGTGTGACGCCAGCAGTCCGTACATCCATCCTGTTGGCTTCTGTGAAGAAGTTGCTCTAACACTGAACACTCCACCTGGTGAGACACCAAAACACTTCATTTACAAATGACTTCTCCAACTTTATCACACATAAATGGAAATAAAGCGAAAGAATCAGGAACATCACTGTCTGTTCATCAGAACAAAAAAGTATTTTTAAGTGATTAGATTTAACATGTTCTTCCAGTGTCTCTTTAGTTTTTATTGTATTATGTTTATGTAACATTTCCAGGTTGATGACTTTCAATGTTTTTGTTTTTGTTCACAGAGTATAAAGAGCCCAAGAACTTTTTGTGGGAGAAATACCTGGAGGAAATGGGAAGCCAGGCTGCTCCGGCGCGAGCTTTTAAACCGGTACCAGTGCATTGCCACACAATTATTTATAAAACTGTATCTAAAACTGGGTGGTTAGGCCAAAAATATTGTTCATATACTCAAATTATAAATGAGATTGGAGAACTGTTTACAAAGAAATGCTGAAATCCTAATTATTCAAGTATATTGCCTGTTTCAACATAACGTCTGACTTCGAAATTTAGATATAGGTAATAAATAACATTCAGTTCACCAGTCAACTTGATCAAGTCGTGTCAAACCTTCCTCTTTTCCCCTCGTATGTTGAACCATGCTTCCAAATTTTAAATATTTGTACATATCTCTTAGTATATCACCCACCCCTAACAGCACATAACATCATAATCTGTATTTAATTTTTTTAGACATCCTTTTTCCTTATTATTTTTTAATTCTGTTTGCAGCGACCTCTCCATGGTTTCCAGGTGGGGATGAAAGTAGAAGCCGTCGACAGGAGGAACCCCATGCTCATCCGTGTTGCCACTATAGTGGACACAGAAGACCACCGATTGAAGGTGAAAAAAAAAAGTCCCATTTCGTGCTGAACAGTTGTTCATTTTGCTGTTTCCCTCTCCTCACGTAGGTTCACTTTGACGGCTGGAGTTCTGAGTATGATTACTGGGTCGAGACAGACTGCCCGGATCTGCACCCGGTTGGGTGGTGTCAGAAAACTGGACATCCTTTGCAGTATCCAAATAGTGAGTTTTTAATTCTGTCTTGTTCAGGTTGGGGTTTTGAAAGTAACATGTACAATGAGAATGTCATACCTCAGATATGATATAATAAACAAGAAAGTATCCCTAAAACAAGTGCTCTTGCTGTTTAAAGTAAATGTTTACAATCAATAAAATATGTATCTGAAATTCAGTTAATCGGCCACAAAAAATAAAATAAAACAAACAAACAAACAGTTTGTTCAGTGCTGTGTCAACACTCATCTTGTGTGTATTTCAGGCACTGGTGATTCGTTGACCGCTCCGGGTCAAGGATGTCCCACCCCAGGATGCAACGGTGTTGGACACATCCGAGGGCCTCGATATGGGACCCACTACACGTTAGTTACTCCTGCTCACTTCACAGTCAGACTCCTCTTTTCTTAACACTTGTGTAGTTTTTAGTCCCGTTCCTTTTGTCTTAGCGCTAGAAAAAATATCTCCCCAGCCAGTGGACAGATTTGAATGATATTCTCAGGAAGTAATCTTTGAATGTACATCTTTATGTCAACCCAATTCAAGATAGACACCTCTGCTGGGTAATGTTAGAAAACACAAAAAGGGCTGAAAATTTGTCATTTGTACAGATATGTGGCAGTAGCTGAAAGTCATCCTCAACATATGCTCTTACGATACATTTGTGTTAGCAAAATATAACATAAACCACAGGACAGATTTTAACAAAACTGTCACAAATCAGTCGCTGGATGGACATCCACAATGCATTAACTTTTAGAGTCAACTCTATTCAAGATGGCCGCCACAGCTAACTGTCTTTTCCTTGCGTAAAAATAGCTCTAACTACGTTTTCTTCTTTCAAGAAATTTAATTTTAGGGTTGCAACATGTCCTATTTACTCAGGCTCTGAATAAACTGGAATTGTGTTACCTCACATGCTGCATTTAAACAAAGAACGTTTGTGAAATCAGTTTAATATGTTTGACTCCTGAAGTTGACATTCCTGTTGTACTCCATCAGTTTCTCCCGCTGCAGAATTGATGTTCAGATCATTCAAGGCGACTGTTCTCCTATTTAATCATGGCTTAGTAATGAAGCCAAAAAGAGGACCGGAGACTCGGTGTTCTCAAATGTCATTTATATTTGTGTGGGTGGGTGGCAGTCTAAATGTGTCGCTGCTGTGTGTGTGTGTGTGTGTGTGTGTGTGTGTGTGTGTGTGTGTGTGTGTG